TGAATTTTAATCTTTGATCAGAGATCAGAAAACACTTTTAATTGCTCTTTGTTTCTGTCATGAAAGTTTATTTGAGGACTGGGAAAGCAGAGGTGTTGATACATAGCATTTGCACGTGAAATTAAGCCTGTGATCATTTCCTCTTTTACTCTAACAGCTCCTCTGAATGACAGATGTATCACCTTATTAACACCTTCAAATTGGTGCTCCGAGTTGGAGATACTGTATGTTGGCAGTGTCTTGTTATGTGCATGCTTAGTGGAGTCTTTAGTGTTACACCAGCATTAAAAGTTGAGGATGCTCTGCTCTCCCCTAGTACAACATTTCAACATCCTTTGTGTGGATTCCATCTGAACCCAACCCCTGACCCTTCCCTTGTCCCTGAGCCTGGGTCTTGCCCTCATGCTGCCGTCCATCCTCCTAGGCACATGCTAACCTGTGAACTTTGCTTCGCCTCTGGGGCCAGGCTGCCAACCCAGCACACAAGAGAAGAGAACACAAGGCGGAAACTTGTGCCTTATTGCGTGTCATACCTGGGGGTGAATTGTATTGTGAAAAGCCGACATCAGACAGTGATCCCAATTTTTAAGTGTCAGCTGTTATATTTGGAGTTATTGCCTAAGAAGTGTATCACTTAAACAGATTTTTTTTGTCTGAATGCAAGCTCCTGTAACACTAGACTGACTGCAAACCAAACTTCCTAACCTCATTAATTAGGAGTGGGTCACCTGGGTCAACGTGTGTTTATTCTCAGGAAGGAGCATTAAGGGGATTAGCACTAATCAGAGGGGATTATAAGCAGCCATTACACAGCTTGATGGTACTTTCCTGCCTGGTCTCTTCACTTTGTACACCTGTGGAGAAGCATATTTGGTTTGGAGAGAAGGATCTGGATAAGTACTCCTCAGGAAATGTAAACAAAAACATACTGGACCTCTTGGTTACCTTTGACCCAAACTGCAAAGAACCCAGTCTGTTAAAGAATGTGTGTTTAATGCAGGATAAGGGAAACTGTGTGGGTGATGTTTCATACTGTTTTGATGATGTCACTTGATTGTAAGGATCGGCAAAGGTCATGTTAGGGTCATTGTTAAATATTCTGCCCAGTACAATACCTCTGATATCATGTTGTTGTATTATACACTGTAGTATACTTAGAAAAAATACTTTTTATACAGCTATTCAATGTGTTTTATTTATTTATTACATTGTCGATTTACATTTTACATGTAAAACATACACAAAATGCAACGTAAAGCATTGCTGCAAATCAAAAGACTCAGAAGAATGACTGAATCACTTTGACCAGCCACAACATTAAATTGCTGCTTACATGTTAATGCAGTAATAATAAGAGAATGATATGATATACTGACATGGGTCACTGTTAATACCTCTGATTCTTTAAGTACATTTCTGATTATAGGTTTTACTTAGTAAAACTTATAATGCAGGATGTTTATTTGTTATTATTAGTTACTTTAAAAATGTACAGTACGTCCTGCATTTTGGGAGGTGTTTTGAATGTTTGCCTCACATCATCCATGATATATTAGAAGCATATTTTCCTGTAATGGAATCCCTTTCTGTATCTCCATTTCAACTACCACAAAATTACCATACAGCTGAATCAACACCTCTCTGACACAGTGTCAGCACAATGAACATGATGTGATTGAAGTTACTGCAGAGCTATTGTGCTGGAAGACATTTAATTGGACAGGTATGAGCTAGTAACTTTATTTAGATGATAGAAATTTGTTATGATATTATTATAACAGCTCACCAGCTGATGTGCACCCTGCACAGCCCATAATGGTTGGTATAGCTCTGTTTCATCCAAAATACACACCAATGAAACCTTTTCCAGGCACAGAAACCAGGAAATCAAGTTGCCTGTGGAGCCACAGAGGCAAAGGAAATTGTTGCATACACATTATCTGTCTTTGGATGTGTATGCGTTTTTACTTCAGCATCCTCATAGCGCTGCTATTTAATCACGATTTATCAAGCTTTTCACTTTTATCAGCCTCTAAAAAACAGGATACAGGATAAACAATATTATGCTTGTCAACAGTGTTGTTGTTATAGTGTTTATATAATGTGTGGTATGCATGCTCTCAGGTCTGTCCATGCGCTCTGGTCTTCATTAGCCTTAGACCGAACAGCTTTGCGACCTGACAGAGAGCCTTTCATGTGTCCCCTGCCTGGTCGCTGCTCACCAGAGCCTAACCAGAAACATGCCACTGCCCAGGGCAAGGTCAGAGCTCTCACCATACTGCAGCATTAAAGCAGCGTTGCTTTTTACTAATGGAGGAAGGGGGTGGAGGCGTACTCTGGTTTATTTTTCAGTTGTTGTTTTTTTGTTCCATCATTCTCATACAAGATATTTTCCATCAGAAGCTATATTCCACCTCATCATATTAAAGAAGTACTAGCACAAATGGACACAGTCCATGTGGTAGTAATCTGAAGCAAATGCCTGGCTCCGTTTGATGATCTCATTGACCTAAAGCTCACATCAGAGTAAAATTTGGAACTTTCAAATCATCCAGGTTACGACTGGTGTCATCTGAAAAGGGAAAATGAAGTGCATCCATTTTATTTTCCGCCTCATGCTTCAAAGCCAAACTAGGGATTGTACCTATCATCAAAACTCAAATTCCCCCTATGCTTTAGGGAGTAATGTTTAGTTACAGCTGTTCTGTCAGCTATTGTAGGACGACCCATAAAAGTGGCTTAGATTTGACAAACAGTGATGCATGGCTCATTGCAGTGTTAATCTGCAGAACGGGTGCAAAGAGGTCAGAGGAAATGTGTTGGAGAAACAGCCTATCTTTGTTGCGCCCCACTGAAAGGACTCGCTGTTCTCAGTTCTAATAAAATAGGGGATCATTTCAACCAGAAGACGGTTGAATATTTAACTGACTGGGTTTATTCAAAAAGCCAAATCAGTAATATTGTTTTCAGAAATATGTCTTTAAATGAAGAAGAAAAATCTCCTGCCTGGTATGTAATGTCATGCAAAGTGAATAAGCCCTCTCTGGCCTTGTACCATCAGAGACAACGCCTTTGTACTAATGACTGGCCTATTATATAGTTGTTGCAGTTTTTTCCCCTTTCTTTTATGTCCTCAGAGACTTGGACGTCTTGCAACACGCTTTAAAGGAGGCTGGAGGCCCTTTTGTGTTGAGGTTTCCACACTTGAGGGCCACAGTATTTGGTGTGTGTGGAGAGGGAGTGTGACAGTCTGAAAGGGAGAGGGCTGGCTCGCACAGAAAAGGAGCCTTGCCTAAACACTGGCCTGGCTCCTAGAAAAGAGAGGGATTAATGTGCACAGACCAAGAAGAACTAATCTCCTGTGATATAATAGAACTGTACATAAACAACATCCATGAGAAGTGAATGGTGAAAGCAGTGACTGACTGAAGAGGCTGAGTGTGTGAAAACAAAGGCTCTGAATAATTTGTCACTCGCTTGTGGAAAATGGGGAGAAAACTTCACAACTAAACAGCTCGACAGCAATGACTCTTCACAAACACTACGCCTATTTCATATAGACACAACCAACAGAGCATTTTATTTTATTTTATTTTATTTTTTACACAGTCATAGTTGTTGTACTGACACTGATTAACCTCCAACAGTACAATGGGAAATCTTTACTGCAGTAGTAGCACACTGAAATGATTTTTGGAATTTGGAGAGAGTAAATTTCCTTCAGTGTTTCAGCAAATTAGAATGACAGTCTGAAACAAGACCGTGGCTCCGGAGGTTAATATACAAAACTCATGAAAATGCATTGATCTGAGGCTGGAAAGCAAACTGTAAAAGTTACGAGCAATTAAAAGTGATGAACAATTAGTGAATTAAATGCTAACATGCTATTTACTGTTTACTGAAGTGATTTTATGGTAACACTAATTTATAAGGCTGTAAATTTAGTTTATTTCTAAATAATTTCCTAACACATTTCCTGGAAGGAACCATGTGATTTGGTATTAATTACAGGTACAATTAGTGAGTGATGAGTTGGTACACTTCCAGTTATTTCTAAATGCTAAGCTAGCACAAATGTGAAGCCAGAAGGTGAACTACTCAAGCAAAAAGTAAAGTTTGTCTACAAACAACCATCCAATTCAGCATAAATGAAGAATACAATTTCAAATAACTAATGAATAAACTGTAAATATTAACTGGGGTTTACACTGAGCAGTTTGCTTCATGGAAATTCATCTGGAAGTCAATAACAAACTCAGCACAACTCAGTGGACTGACTAAAAAAATCAGTGTTAGAACTTTGTCTCTATTTTTCTGTAATTAATATCAAATGGCTCTTCACAGGAAACTTCCAAGAAATTATTAAGAAACAGTAAACCTGTAAAATGATTTATGATTTTACAGCTTGATCTGTGATGATTTTTGTAAATATTATAATTATATACCTGTTCTGAGATGAATCTCAGGACAAAGTGCAAAATTTATTGTCTGTGGGTGTTTATTTTTTAAATCTATGCTGAAACAATAGAAATGAAATCCAATCAGGATTATTATATATGCCCTACGAAAGACTGACATACACAAATAAAGCTTGAGGCTTTAAACACAAAAACACTGCACACACACTGTGGGCTTAACTCTCACAGTGCCATGCTTCTCTCTATTTTCTTGTAAACCGTTCCACTTTTGCTTTTACGAGGGTGAAAGGCTGCAGTGCAGAGGAGGGATTTAATGCTATTCAAACAGAAAAGTGCTCAGAGAACCAAAGCATTACACTGAGGGGTGCCTGACCTCAGGCTGCTGGACTAGATGACCTGTTTATTTGGACTTGCAGAGCACGTGTCTCAGGCTCCTAGGCTGATCAGCGAATACGCTGTACACAGACTCTGCCACCTTGGATTTTACAGCCAAACTAAACAACAGTAATTGCCAAACAGTTGCGCACTGGGAGGAGAATCATCTATTTACTGTACACAGCAGCTTCAGTTAAACAAACAGCAAAGGGAAGTGGTTACAGATTGTTTTATTACTTAGCAGTTTGTACAGTTTCTACCATGGAAAAATAACATGTAACATAAGACTGTATTTACAATTCCATTTTTACAAAATGTCTTTACAAGATTTTTTTTTCTTTTTGCTGGTTCAAAAAAATTTGAAACTAAAACACACAAAACATACACATTCACACACATCCAAACCAAAGGTTTGTAATACACACATAAATAAATATAGACATTCACTGACTGTTCCACGACAAATATTTCTACAGCCAAGAACATGTACAATTCATCATTTTCACACATAATAATTTCATTAATAAACATTACATTATTCCCGATATAATTCTTTGTTAATCTGTTAATGAAATATATTGAAAAATATTGAAAAGAGGTAACACAGACATTAGCTCATGCCAACAGATTGCTAACAGTTGTCATGCCAAACCATCACAATCTTTCAATTTGAAGCAAGTAATTCATTTACAGTTCAAAAATCAAATGTACTACATGCAACATACTATGTGAAATATTCAGAGTTAGACAACAATGACTTTAATTACATTATCCATCTGTACTGACTAATATGTATGTATGCCTAAGCGCCACTTGAAAGGGTAACACAAAATAAATAGATGAATTTCTACTTTTCTTCTTCATGGATACACAATTGTTTTACAGTTCTGGCATTTCCTCCCATCCATGTTCAGCCATCTTCAGTAATAACTTTAGCGGTTCTTGGATCTTACTTTTACCTGGAATTCCACAGCTTCTTTATGAGTCTGGGTGAGTTGGTGAACTTTGAACTAATCAATGCAGAATATGAAACCTTGCAGCTTAAATTTCACTGTAGAAATCAACCCATCTGGTGCCATGTGTCAGTCTGGAGAGAGCGGTTAAGAAGGAACAGCTGATGTGTCGTGGAGCCTGGAGAAGATGGACCCATGTTTGACGAGCCGGGGGGTCAGTTCATGGTCTGGTGCACTGTGTTTCTGTTTGGTTCCACACATTTCTTCTCTGACAGGCAGGAGCAGAGATCCGCTGGTACTTCTCCCCGTTGGGTTTGCCTCGACATACGGCTCAGTGTCTCTCTACTAATGGCTTCTGGTGATGAGAGTGGTGCTGCCGGAGCCTGGGTCCTACAAAACAGATACCACTTAGAAGCTGAACATCTTAGTAACAATTTAACACTGTACTGTTGCAGATGCCAAACAGTTTTTAACCAGTTATCTAGGTCATGAATACATTTTATATCCTCTCCTTCTGCTGAGCTAAACACCCAGTATTAAGTGTCTTTTCTTTAAAAATGATGCTGCGTAACATAAAATAATGTGGCAAAAGCACAGCATCTTTTCTTAGTACTGCATATTTTTTGTGTGCAGCAGGAACATGCTGTAAACACAAGGTTGGCATATTATCACCTTATATAGTTGATATGGTGAACTCATCAGCAAATAGTTGCCTATACATCCAACAGATACAAAGCACCTGTAGTTTTTAATGAAGCTTAGGAAGAAGTTCAGTAAGGAAGATCTCTTCCTTCACATTCGGCTTGTTCCGCAGTGGGTTGACATGGGTTGTTTATTTCGAATCAATTTCTCTCCGTCATCTGCATTCCCATGCTGTCAAATCTCCCTCCACCTTCAGTGCTGACATCACCATATCTTTCTCGAGCCAATCAGTCACTGGCTGCCGTTCTTTAAATATAGTCACAGTTCTGCCTGTTGGTCTTTCAGACCTAAGATTACACAACCTATCTCCTCCCCAAAACCACCACAACCTCCATGATGTCCAGGGTCACAGTCCAAGGCCTCCTCCAACTACCTGTCAGCTTCTCTACAAAACCATCACCAACTTATCTTATCTCCTAACTTCGTGTGGGCCTACACTTAATGAAGACGCTTCACATAGCAGGAGTCTATAACTTCAATAAAGTTATTGTCATTTTCATTTGATCCCTCCTTACTGAAATTTATATGGGAGCAATATTCACTCTCTTTTTACTGTAGCTTTGTTTTGTTCTACACCAGTTTATGGGTGGAAGGCCTGAAAACAGCTGCCTGCTGTATCTGGAAACAGCACCAATAAGAGAGGTGAGGGTGACCCAAAACTGTAAAGTGGGCTAAAAGAGCAGCTGCTGTAAGTGTCTGTGGGTTAATCACCTTGAGATTCATTGTTGATATTAAAATATATATTGATCATACTTAAAGGAATAGTTTGACATTTGAGGAAATGCATTTATTAGTTTCATGGCTAATGAGCTCACTAATCAACACCAGCCAGAGAGCTTTGCAGTGCTTGTAGGTAGATTGCGTTGTTGTTTGACACAGCCAGGCTAACTATTTCCCCTTGTTTCTAGTCTTTGTGCTAAGCTAAGCTAACTGGCTGCTGTCTGTAGCCTTACATTTATTGCACAGATGTTAAGAGTGGTAGCAATCTTCTCATCTAACTATTGCCATAAAGTGAACAAGCAAGTTAAATAAAATGTCAAACTATTGTTTCAAGGAAAAAAAATATCAAAGATCAAAATAGAAAAAATGTATTTGACAGATTATCACTTAAACCGAACTAAAGCGCAACTCATAAATTCCTTGAGTTCTCTGACATAGCAACAGCTGACAGTACTTACGATGTTGAATGACTGGTAATATGTTCGGGGTCTGGAAAGTCTTTACAGTGGCAGGACCTTCTCCTCCAGTTGTTATGACTTGCACCTCCAGTCTGTAGTAGGTGGATGGCCGTAGGTTGGACACTACAAGTAAGTTATGATCCTGCCAAGTGAAAGAAGAGAGCAGCATAAGACATGCAGTCAGATGAAATACAACAGAAAGGGGCCCTTGAATTTGACAGGACTTGAATTTGAATGGGCTGTAATCCAGGGGAGTATCAGCTGCATAGCTGTCTTTGCCCAAGCCACAGACAAAAACAAAGACTCTGTTTTCATAAGGCTTGCTGTCTCTCTTTTTTTGCTGCCAGCTTGATAAAATGTGCGGTGGGTGGTTTTATTTATAGATGAGCTCCAGAGGCTGGGAGGTGCAGATAGGCGGAACGTGTTGTTGATGGAGCAGATTATGTCAAAGAGCAGCTTTGTCAAAGCTCTCACGGAGGATGAAAGAGGAAGATGTGAAGGCAGATGAAAAGGCAGAGGAGGAGAACTTCCAGCAGGACACAACACTTCCTCGGATCAACCCCTGGCTCTGTCTGTACACCTCAGCTTATCACAAGATTCATGCAAAGAGTCCATAGCAGTGTCATCCCTAAATCACCCTCACCTCTGAAAGATGCCAAAATGAAATGCCACAGATAGAACATACTGCACTATTGAAAGGGACACTATATGACGGATTTGCCCAAAATCTGCATCATTTAAAAACAGCCTTTACTGTGTTACTAAAAAGGAAGCAAGACCAGAAAAAGTCCTGTTTTGATCAGGACGCTTACTGGAGGCAGGATCTGGGACTGGGAGATGATACTGTTGGGCAGGCTGTTTTGCCGGCTCTCAGTGGTGATCTCGGCCCAGGTGACCTGGAAGCCTGTGATTCGCTGATGGGGAGCAACCCTGGACACGCGCCACAGGAAGTTTCCCGTGATGTTTCCCTCGTTGATGGAGAAAGAAGCCGTCAGGTTCTCTGGCTTAGCCAAAACCTTTGGATGACTTGGAACTGTTAGAAAAAAGGTGGCATTAGTCATGTTCATAATATTGGCACAATATTTGGGAAATATGCTTTTGTTGCTTTCTTACTGAGACCTGGATGAGAAGGATGATGCTACTGTTATATGTGTACACTAAATACTTAGCTGGAGCAAAGATGCTTCAATTAGCACAAAGACTGTGACATGCTGGAGTCTCCACCCAGTCTCCACTTCATGAATGGATTATTTATACAATTTCAAAAATAATTTCACTTGATTTTCAATAATACATTCAATAATAATAATATAGGTTTCAATAACACATTCATGCTCAACTTTCACAAAAAATAGAGAGAGGTGACATCATGTCCTGTCACCATCTTTGCTTAACCGAAAAGAAACTGTATGACCTGAGAAACTGATTAAAACAATGTTTTTCCTGGAAGGGACCAGATTATTTTTGATTCCACATCATTAGAAGAGTCTACGAGGATTCAGGAAATACCTTCAGAGTTTGGGTGAGTGTTATGAAACGACAGTTTGGAAAGTCTCAGTTTCGCATGTTCACAGAAGATTATCTCTGAGACTCGAGTTTATGTACGTAGAACATGCGCTGGGGCTAGGCTACCTGTTTCCCATTTCCAATCTGTAGCAGCTTAGTTTAGCACACAGACCGCCATTACCATAAAGACATGAGAGTACTATCTATCATCTCATCTAATTCTTGGGAAGACGTCTATTCTTCTACGATGTTGATCTGTTCTTTCACCTACATATACATTTTGTCCATTGTCATCATTATAATATAAATGTGTGTGATTATTACCAGTGTGGATCAGTTTTACAGTGTCAAACCACTGAATACTCACCTCCCTCACCTGGGCAGGGGATGTATTTATGAGTCTTGCTCCGGATGGTGGCACAGGATGGGGTAAGGAAGGTGGTGCTCTCATCCTTGGAGCGTCTCTTGGATTTCAGCATGTGAACAGTGACTTTGTACTTGCAGGAGAACAGCAGGCCCGGGAGGTTAATGTAGTTCTCCTGAGCCAAGAAACACATTATTCAGCCCTGATGACTTTGACATGTCACCTAGGTCAGGTCCCATGGAGCTTCAGAGATAATTAAATACACAGCGCTGGGGCAGATCGCATTCCCACTCAGGCCTCAGAAACATGCCCCACATTATAGGACCACTTTGAACACTCATATGGTAGGGGTTAGACCACTGCTCCCCTATTCAAGCTGCAATATAAATAGGTTTTTATAGCTTCTGAATTGAAGTAGTAACATAAACACAAGAAGAGCTTAATTACAAAGAAACATCCAAAATGAATTCATATGTAATTTGAAAAGAAAATGGCCTCTAATTCCAAGCTAATGAATTCTTCTCTTTACACTCACTTCAATCTTTAATTATCTGTTGAACTTAACAAAAAAACCCCAACTTTTCTGATATCATTTTTGAGAAAACAAAAGTCATGCTGACTACTAAATTCAGATTTTGCTTTTATAATAAAAAGGTTCTGCATTATTAGGCGGTCCCTTGAGAAAGAATGTGTGTCTGATATAAAACAGCTTTGATTAAAAGTGAATGAGGCATTGTGCTCACATAAAAGAACAAGCCTGCAACCCTTCCTGGTGATCTACAGAAAATGGATTTATATTTCCAAGCAACCAGAGCAGTGCTCCCCAAAGAATGTATTGTTTACCAGGCTTCTGCCATCCTGTATCAGCCTGAACCCAAACAGATAACCCCCCCACCCCCACACTCTCTCAACCCCGACACAGACCCCACTGCAACCTAAAAGAAAGCCCCATACAGAAGCATGGCCGGGGCCATCAGAGGTGAATAATCTCCCTTTCTGGGAAACACACCACCTGCCTCCCCAAAAGACTGACTCATAATAGTCAAAACAACAGCCAGTGCAAATCGAACAAAACAGGGTTTCAGGTTCACTCAGTGGAGATGTTTTCTTTAGATGAGCTCTCCTTTGTAAGCATCAGACAAAAGCTTAGGTACATACTTTGCACAGCCGGACACTGCTCAAGTCACAGTTCTGAGGGGCCAATCTTCAGTTTTAAGGTGCGTTGCTGGGGACGAACCTGTGTGACTGATTTCTCTGGTCCTCGGGTCTCGTTGTGGCTGCAATACTCTGGCATCCACTGGACATGATAGCGACTCACTGTGGGATCTGAAATGAGGATGAAAAATCAAAGTCCATGTCGCACAACAAAAATACAGCTCGGTACTAGGATCTTAGACTGTGCCATAAACCTCCACTGTTGCTTAAAAACAATGAAAAACACATCAGAGAAACATATCGCTGCACTGGTTGACATCTTTCCTCATTACAAACCACCTGACCCTGATATTTAAAAAAGAAAAAATTGCCCCAAAGGCACTGAACGACCATAACATTTTATAGCAGCTGTATTAGGGTCTTGTGTTTCGTAATAAGGAAATATGTTGCTAACTGCAGCAGTGTGGTTCCCTGATGTATTCTTTATTTGTTTTGAAGATCAGTGGAGGTCTATGGCAAAGGCAAATAAGCTAACCCAGTTCTGATACATTGACAAACATTAATCCTGATTAGAGACAGATCATTGTTGGTCTTAGTCTCTGTATGAGTGTTGAAAATAATGTTAATATAGAAAATGTCCAGCCTTGTCCTCTAACAACTTTCTGATATTTAAAACAAAACAAGCAATCACATTCCATTTTATTTTTTTTTCACCAGACACAAATGGCGTGACCTGGAAGTGACCAGTGTGAGAGTGAGACAGCCTTTTTCAAGCATCTTAAGCTTTTGCTGAATACAAAAACTGAAAGATGAATGATATAAGGCTTTAAGTACAGGGGTTAAACAAATGTAGTGGGGTTGTGTCCCTCTTCCTCTAAAATATAGTGGGGCAGAAGTATAAAGTAGATTTTACTACCTCAGTGCAGTATTCGAGTAAATATACCTAATTATATTCTAAAGACTCTATCCACTGAACATTAATGTGATATCAGAAGGCAATCTGACAGGGTGAAATGATTAACTGATGGGTATCTCACAGAGTACAACACGCCCTATCTGAGATCTGATATCACCGTTTCCATTACTGGTGATCATGATAACTTTATATCTGTGAAAACTTGAAAGCACTCCCTTCTTTATCTTTGCATTAGGCTTTGTTTGCTAAAGGCTCAATTCCCAAACCAAACTTTTCAGTGTCAGCTCTAAGGTTTTGCATTCTCATCAGTGGAGTAGCAGTCATGCTGGGACACCCTCTCTCAGCTGCAGACTCCAGCAGCAGCATTTGCTTCGTTTCTATATGGTAGCTCCTGCAGTTCATCAGCCCCATTACCTTCATCTTATGTTACTAAATTTATTATTCATTCAACTGTGTAGCCTGGATATGTGAAATATGTCTAAGATTAATAATTGAGTTATGCTGTGTTCGACACTTGCGGGAGTCTGGATTGTAGTAGCAAGATAAAAGGGGTCCTTTGAACGCTTAGACACAAATCTGGCAATCGGAGCCCCTGAGCTCTTTGGAAGCAGAAGAGAGGGATTACAGGGAAACGGGAAATGGGGAAAAAATAAACAAGATATGCTTAGCCGAGTCTGACGGAGAGGGGGAGTGGTGTGTAGAACAAGACATGAAACATGGAAATCAGGTAGAGAACAGAACCTCAGCAGTGTTCGATAAATCATGACTGGAAGCGGGCCTCAGAAGTGCCGCCACTGTCGGACTGCTGGCTATTGTCTGTGTGTGGAGCAGACAGCGATATATCGTCTGAGCTGGTGTACAGTGAGGTTCTCTTTTGTCTGCTGGAGACAATCCAGAGACTGATTTGGATTACAGAGACAATGACTGAAAGTTTAATCATGGTTCACTTAACCTGTCTCCTTTCTCTGTCACACAAACCAGATGTCCAGAGGCTGTAGCTCTCCAGACCATCTGTACAGTGCAGTACAGAGGAAAATCCTGAATAAATGAGTGGTCTCTTATGGGATGACCGTGCCCCCCATCCATACAGCATGAGGGGTCACTGAATGGTGAAAATGACTTGAATCATATGCTACGGACTTTGCAGACACCAGATCTCACTTTACTTTTACTATACTTTTCACTTTATTGTATGTCGGGTTTTCCTTTCATTTTCACAGTGGTGTTGTCGGAGTTAAAGTCAGAGTCATCCTTCAAACTAATGAGTGGCAGTGGCACACACCGCCGACCAGAATTACAAAACAAAAGATGGAAAAAGAAGTTGGACCAGTGTTCACTATATGATTCCACAGCTGTGCTTGATCCTCATCAGCATCATTAGGCTCTCTGAGTCCAGGCTAACCTTGCTAACAGTCCTGGGCCAACTCTATCTTCCCTCTCTCTCTCACTGATTCAGCAGTTGGTGTCTCACCAGTCCTCTCCTGCAGCCAGGGTTTGCATTCTTGACTCTCAGATGTGGAGTTTGGCTTGGGTGATGACATATATTAGTAGCATAACATAGACCAGTGAATGGGACTTGACAGGTTACCCTGAGAGCATGGATTTCAAGGTTTCCATATTTCCACTCTGCTATTAACAGAAGGGATGGGGAATGGATGCTCCTAGGACAGGCATTCAGATAGGCTTTAACCCCTTGTGCTGCAATTTGCGACTGTTTCTGTTTCCTATGACATTGGGTCTTGTAAAACAAAATGGGTCGCTTCAGTGAAAATGCAAGAGCAAGAATGTATTTAATACAGCTGTCAATAAATCCGATCATATGACTCCAGCTCTGTGTTCATTTTCCTTTACTGAATGGCGGCTCATGTTGGCAGTCCATGTGCAGGTTTACACCAACTTGCCTACCATTCACATCACCCAGCTTTAACAAAGACACATTGTTTCATTGATTTAATTTGCAGCACATTTATAAAAGGAGCTTTCCACTGTTTGAGTAACCGAGACCCAGTCATAACACTTTATTTTGGAGTAGATAAGTCAGAGTGATTGATGGCCATAATGGGGTGATAATTAGATTTTAACAAAGCTATAAATCAATACATTAGAGCACATACCTCCCCGGTGCTTCCAGTAGACACGGACTTGCAACTGGCCATCCTGGTAGAAGGGTGTGCCTACCTCTAGAGGACCAGCAGGGCGTTTGGGCAGGGTGGAACCAAGAGAGGATATATCATCCTTCTTTGACTTGAGCACTGATTTTACTGGGAAAAGAAGGGAGAAGTGTTTGCTGCCGTAGCTAAGACACAACAGTGACTGACTGATTTGTGGCAAACTCTGCAGCATGGTAACAGAAACACACAATTATTTGTGAAATCACAGCAGTTACAACACATTCTTCATGCATAAGTGTGGTGTAATTTGATGGGTACACAAAGTACTAGAACTGCCACGATTAGAGGTTCAATTCCCTCTTAGAGCCATATATGGCTAAAATGGACACACTCATAGGTTTGGTCTATGCTTCCTAAACATCCTGGA